TAGTTTGTTTTAGTTTACGACGATAGCGATCATGTACTTTTCAGTTTGGACATTCGAGAATTATTTCTTATCGTTTCGTTTGGCATGACGCGTGATCGACAGCATGTTTTGTCCTCACGATGTAGATCTATCCCAGTTCCTTGCCCCGCTTATCCGTCATTTATTTATTATACTGTTTCGTTAACACGACTCGTGCGTCAGAGTCGATCCTGTGCATCCCACTGCGCAGGATAGTTCGCCACACTTATCAAGTTACAAAATCACAGGATCGGCTTTGAACTTTGATCTTTGTTAATTTATTTCACGCACTCGACACACAATTTAGTGCATCTTCCCGAAATTTTATATTTACAAGGTAAACGTCAATAACCAGAAATTAACTATTCAGAGTTTACAATTCATTGCTTCCGCGTTACGCATGAAAGAGATTTACACGATCTGTAAATTCATAATTCATTGTTTTCAAATTTCTACAAATGATCGGAAAAGAAAGAGTCGGAGGTCAGTGCGACCTTCTAGACATAGATCGAAAGAAACGGTCGTGATATGTGTAACAGGGGGATCCTAAGTAATGTCGGTTTTTCAGTAAACGTCATCTAGCGACAATAAAAAAGAAATAAATAAAATATTATACATTTATACAACACGTTTCACGCCGAGCCGTTTTTACTCGACTTTTCATTCAGGCTATTTGATGTTTTGACTAAAGATTGATGTCTTATCATAAAATATTTCATTACATCATCAATCCATGAGTAATTAGTTTGTATAGAGTAATTATCACATCGTGTACCATCCGTGGTATACGTGGCGCTGCAATCAGTTTTAACTTTTCGGTTAGTAAAACAGAACCTGCCGTGTTTGAGTTTGTTGAGTAAAAATGAATAGGTAAATATACGGAGATAATATTTTTTTGTTTTTCATTTGTTTTTTTTGTCTTTGCTGGAAAACAAGTTTCTTTTATTAACTTTCATAGCACTTCTTGCTATAAACAAAATGTAAAAAAATTCGGTACCGAAGTAGCAAGACAAGAAACTATAAGAGTATCATTATATATATAATTATTAATTACTGTATATATATAACAATTAAACAAACTTATGTGCTTTGTTCTATAGTGCATTTTTTTATGAT